ATTAACAAAAAAGTGCTTTACATATTTGGTACTGCACATCCCATCATGCCGTTTATTTTGTTGCCTTTAAAAGCTTTCCAGAGTACAATTCTATAACACCTCACAGTCCACATCCAACAATGTAAGGATGCATTGCTCATGATTAACAATGTGAAAATAACAGCTACCATAGTGCAATGCCCATACAGCTGCCAGCCTGATGTGCTTAACACTCATTCATAGGCTAACTCACCAGTGAGCAGAAAGCAGTGGGTTCTATATGAACAATAAAGAATACAAATAACCTTTCACAAACAGGTATTTCATAACTGCTTACAGTAAGGAAGACATTTACATTATTATTGGCCGTCACAGGCTGCTGTAAACTAAACACCACTCTCTCTGACAGAACACCTCACTGATTGATTTAACTCGTATGTCTAACTTTCATGTTTCTCTTTTCAGCCGCAGACCCCATGTCGCCTCTTTATGTGCGTCGCTAAGTTCCTCGTACTACTTGTGTACTTTAAAGCGGCTCGGAATCGTTAACAATTTGCGAGCGATTTTTCAAGTTGACCGTCTGTAGTATATAGTGCCACGCACATATACCATCAGGACGTTACTGATGGGGTGCGGCTGCGGAGTGATACTGTGTGTATGCAAGCCCGCATCTAGGACGGATCTATGTATCATGGCTGTAGACCTGTTAAGTAATAAAGATACCTCATACAAAGGTCTACGGATACCTGTAGCATAAATGACTATTACACCGTCTTTCTTGAACAATCCGAAGTGTTGCCAAACGTTTGATTTGTAGGTATTTTTTGGTGCGCTGTGTTTCTCTTTCCCCTCAACTTCCGTGTGTGTTGATAACTGAGACTCTCGGTCTCCGTAGTGGCGAAGCAAATATCAAAAATCGTCTCTGCTGAGCGTTGACAAGATGAGGGAATTTTATATGATGAATCGGTTTTTTACCGATGCAAAGACGCTACGCAATCGATGCATCGCGAGTTCAACCCGGTTCAACCCAAACTGTAGCCGATGTGCACTCTTTCAACCGGTGCACTCGCATCTTGAACGTTTATGCCGGTGCACCGATGCGAATCGGTGAATCTTAACATCTCTAATATCCACCAGTTAAAGGAAATCCAACTAATGTGTTGTGTTATATTAGCTGTACAATTGACCACATATGGTGTTCTTAGCTTCCATACCTCCTGTGTTTTACAAGCGACTTATCAAGTCTTGGCAAACGGCATAAAACACGATTAAACATGATAGTATATAAAACCATGCTCGTATCTACAACCTATAGAAATGCAACACAGCCTCAGTTTAGACGTAATTGTATAGGCTCAGAACAGTCTCATAATACACACATACACACAGAAGGATTCACACTTATATTTCATGATCCGCAAAAGGATTCACACTTGTATTTCCGGATCCACACTTGTGTTTTTCAATGCACACACAAATGTATTCCGTTTCATATACATGTAAATAAAATCCAAATACAGAAAAAAGTTTTACATGTGTATTTTTGATCCTCACATATTTGTCTTCCGTTTAAAACCTCTGCACCTGCAAACACAAACCGCTTTCTGTACACGGATCGCTGTGCATTCGTGTGTGGGTTTTTTGAGACTCCCCTGACGGTCAGCCAATTCGTACTTGTAATTATTTCTATCTATAGCCAATCAGATGTCTCCTCAATTCTAAGCCAATCACATGAGCGCACCCCCACGAGGGTAGATTTCTTGCGTTCATGACGTAGCGCTTCATGTACGCATTTTGCGCAGTCCGGAGCTGACAGGTCAATGGAGCCTGCCTGCAGGCGCTAATCTCAGGACACCCTCCACTCTCATTATAGCGTAGTGATGGGAATTCCAGCTCTTCTTGGTGAGCCGGATCATTTGGCTCGGCTCACCAAGAAGAGCCGGCTTTTTCGGCTCCCAAACAGCTCTTCAGTTTACCACATATTATACCTTTTAATTAAATCAAATGTAGCCCTGTTTTGACTAATGATTTATATGTGTACACATATATCACTTAAATTATTCAATACATCCTTTGTACTGAAGTATTCAAAAATAAAAATTACATGTTTAATATAAATGATTTGCTGTGGCCAATTGTTTTCATTGCATTTACAGACCCTTGTAACTCTCTGATACCACCCAATGAATGCATTGACTTGCTTGTAGAACCACGCTACACAAAACAGATAGCAACACCAATAAACACTATTTAAAAAAAGGGGCTACTGTATCGACCTATATAAAGTATATAAATATAGTTTTTTTTTCAAAATACCAAAAATATCCTGCATTTTAGCCATGCCTCATTTCGCTCTATTTGCTCTTTCCAGCGCTGTTTTCGCAGGGGGCTGATTCTGTGAGCTGCAGCTGACCACGCCCCCCTGCAGGAGAGGGGAGCGTGCTTTGAGATCAGCTGCTGGGCTGTCAGAAGAGGGGGAGAAAAAGAGATCTCCGTCCTCCGTGTTTTATTCTTATAGAAGTAAGAAGAGAAGTAACGGGGCAGAAACCCTCCTTTTTACGCAGCGGTCCAGACATAGACATCAAACGGCGACACATATTCAGTGTGCAGTTACTTTGGCATTAGGGCAGGGATATCTAGATACTTTCCAAGGTTTGACATAATGAATTGTGCTACTTTTAAAGCAAGCAACGATGTTTTCAAATCTGTAATCAAAAAGCTCCTCAAAAACACTATCGAAGCAGTTCCTGCCGTTGCTATGATAGTTCAAACAGTAACAACGGACTACTTTTCTTAGCGGATGCATGTCAATTTAAATCGATACATAAAACTAGTTTTTAAATCAATAAAATCATTTTATAAATCCATAAAAGCATTTCAATTAATATTGGGAGTCATGTCGTTACTTTGTTGAGAATGTGGCCATGTGTAATAAGCGGGATAATGTTTACATTACATAATGTGCATTCATGCCGATCTAGATCCCTCCGCAAAAAAAAAAAAACCGGCTCGTTCGCGAGCGAGAGCCGGCTCCCGTCGTTCAGTTAAAAGAGCCGGCTCTTTGAGCCGTCTCGTTCGCGACCGACACATACAGCGCCACTTTCCGAACAGGAAATGCACGCAAATACAAGCCTTTATATTATTAAGGTACAGCGCCACTTTCCAAACCATTGATGAATGCTTGTGTACACAAAAACGGCAGGCAACACTTTATTTATTTATGTCTGTATGAAGTTGTTGTGAGTGTGGAGGGAGCAGCTACAGGTTAGTTTAGCCTAATCGATCAGTGCACTACGAAGCCAGTGCTAGACAGTGACCTGTTAACGGGGGGGAGCCCCGCCGGTCATTATCGGCCGATATTCACTCTTAATAGTTTGATCGGTGCTCTCTATAATGGCCGATCAGGAGAGCTGGATCTGATCGATATGGACATAAACGCGAGTGAAATATAACCGGACGCAAGAGAGAGATCAGATCAGCTGCTGAGTCTGATGGAGACACGCTGCTCTGCATGATCACCTGATGCTCCGCCCTCTGTTTAGCGAGCTGACCGGACTGCGCAAAATGCGTATATGAAGTAATCTTACCCTCGTGGGGGCGCGCTCATGTGATTGGCTTAGAATGAAGGAGACATCTGATTGGCTATAGATAGAAAAATTACAAGTACGAATCGGCTGACCGTCAGGGGAGTCTCAAAAAACCCACACACGAATGCAAAGCGATCCGTGCACAGAAAGCTGTTTGTGTTTGCAGGTTCAGGGGATTTAAACAGGAAACTAATAAGTGAGGATCAAAAATACATATGTAAAACTTTTTTCTGTATTTGGATTTTGTTTACATGTATATGAAAAGGAATACATTTGTGTGTGCATTGAAAAACACAAGTATGGATCCGGAAATACAAGTTTGAATCCTTCTGTGTGCATGTGTGTATTATGAGACTGTTCTGAGCCCATATAATTCTGTCCTCCTGCTTACCGCATCATTTATGAGAAAACGTTTCATAACATTAACACAACATATTCGAGGTGGTTTTAAATAACATATCCGTATTTATTTATTTCTCCAAGTTATGTTTTTGTGTGCACTGAGGAGTCGCAAACAGGCGTTTGTTTCATCATTTTAAGATTGGCTTTAATCAATGTTTGAAAATGAATTCTTCATATATGATAAATGAGAAGTAACATTTTATTTATGGTATTATTTCCACATATTTCTCTCCATTATTCCTTCTGCCAACGATTTTGCAGTTTCTCGTCTCTCCCGTTTTTGTGTTTAGTGCGTACGCATGGGTTAGAGTTTGCGTGGAGGACCGCACGTTTTCCCGTCAAGTTAGTATTTTATAAATTGCAAACATTGCGTAGAAACTGGCGTACGCCATCTTTTAGCGTATATCCCTTTATAAATGAGGCCCCTGAGCTCCTATTAACTCGGCATCCAAATCCAACATGAGACTGCATTATGCAAAGATACTCTCAGAATAATATTGTACTATTGAGTTCAACTGTTGACTGCGTTGCAGGTGTGGATAGATATGGAAGCCCATTTCCACCAGTAAAAGAAAAAAGCTCAAATAAAAATGTAGAATTGTGGGGGAAAAAAGATTCTAACTAATGACTGACAGAAAAAAAGAGAAACCATAGCAGCATTATGACTAAGCATACCATAATTATGGCATAGAATCTCAAAATAATGACTAAGTGTTAACAAAAATTACCATAATTCAAGCATCATTTAACTTTTGTGCAAAATAAAGCATGTTCTCTGCATCAACCATTTCAACCAAGTGTTGATACTGGAGAGTCTCACTGTTTGCAGGCCTGATGCATTATTAACTTGAATGGTTTGAAGCACTGTCACTAATGCACATTTTCTCCTTTTTCTCCTTGTCTCATAAATCCCCTCACCCTCTCGACTTTCCTTCCAACTCCTTCTCTCTGCTTCGTTCCCATCTAATTTCCCCTTGCCTTCTTCACCTCTTGATATCTATCTCTTCTTCTCTCCTCTCTCTCCTCTCTCAGGTGAGAAGTGTCGGAGCTTCATTGATCTGGCCCCGGCATCGGAGAGAGGTGAGTAATGACCGTCATTAGCCACCGCCGCTCCCACCTGCCGCTCCCACCTGTTCGTCAGACCAATGGAAACCAAAATAAATATGCACACATCTCTTTATTGGGCACCTTTCTGGCTTATTTTCATCGGCATTTAACATTATTATATTCTAACAATTGAAAAATATATAAATAATGACTGTACCTATCAATTTTTATATTATTAGAGAAACACGTCTTATTTATCTTACCTTCATTGATCCTGTAACACGTCTGTATTATCTACCTCAGTAAGATTTAGACTAGATTATTTTATAGTCATACTATTTTGACTTTTATTTAAGATATAGGCCTGATTTCTCTTTCACTTCTGGTAGTAAGTAGTTATGATGTCCAGCTCTAAGAAGGACGTTCATTTTAAAGACGTTTATTTTAAATTAAATTGAGGTCAAAGTTAATGACATCTGAGCGTCTGCTTTAAAACTATAATGAGAGTCGTAAGTGAAGATTAGACTGAGAAGGTTGTCTGTCGGTAGGTCGAAGTCACACGCTTTGTTGACATAAAGCAGTCGTTTCAAAAGGACATTAGGGCCAGTGTCCACATAGTGCCTGTCTCTGTCAGGAAGGCACTATGTGGACACTGGCTTTGCTCCTAGTGCTAGGAGGGGTTAAAAGCACATTTCGTGTGACGCTTAAAGAGGGTTTCATCCCTCCAATTCTAATTCTACCACTGTTGAATGACGGACTAGTGACGCTCCCTTGAATTTCATTATCTGTTTGTGCTACTTTATATTTGTGTTTGATAATGTTTTTCACAATTGCAACCAACTGAAAGGTTGTCGCTCTCACTATTTGTCTAAATGAGCATCACCACTCAGTCTGACAGCCTTGGGAACAAAAAAAACAATGCTGTTATTTTTGGGTGAAAACTGTTTCTTAACCAACATCTTTCCAGGAGCAGTCTGTGCTTCTACTTCTCTGTTAGTCCTCCTCTAAGAGACTGCAAACTAAGGTGGAGTCTGCACTAAGGGCTCATTATTCTTTAAGAAACAAGTATGACGTTTCCTTTTTTCAACTCTACATTGTTTAATCTCAAATCATGGAGGCTGATCATTCATTCTGATCAGAAAACGTAGAAAATCTATTTGGAGAATGAAATGAAAACTGGTTGTTAACAGGGCAAATGGGACCTTCTTCAAGATGTACTTCCTGTGTTTATTTACTCACTATCCTCCATAGACACATCTGAAAAGGTGGAGGCAGTTATAGAAGGAATGAAAAACACATTCTAATGTTTTTGCCTCAAAACATCTGGCCAATCCCATTTGTGCCCGATTATCCGTCAAAACCGTTTCAGATTTAACCTTCTATTACAAAGGTTTCATATTTTCTCTGGGCTGATTTAACTGAGGCCTTCATCATAATTATATTGACAGAGGAGGGAGTAAAAGGAAAGTGACATGTATTAATTGAAATGAAACAAGCTCAGGATTTTTCCAATGTGTTGTCAGTTTTGATTTATGGATGTTAGAGTAAACCTGCTCCCAACAAAAATGAAGATAATGCCTTCTGTTTTGATTTAGGTTTCAAGCAGATTCAAACTAATCTCCCAGAATAAAAAAAAAATGTATCTATCAAGAAAATGATTGATGATAGAGGACATATACATCTCAATTTCAAGTTCATATTAGTATTTTGTGTCTCTACTGTGACATGCTTTAATGTAAAAAAAGCTCTGTATTTTTCTCATACTGCCTGTGCTGTAGCACCTCTTTTCTACCTCTGTCTGAAACCAGAGCCCAGTCTGCTCTGATTGGTTAGCTGGCCGGCTCTGTTGTGATTGGTCAACCGCTTAGAGATGTCCCGCCCCTTGCCCTATCACGTACAATGTGTTAGAAGCTAGTCAAATTAAGTGCGAGTGTTACATAGTGACATCACTGTTAGGGAAGTAAACAAAAAAGTCCAATGGAAGCTTCAGGCAGGAGAGAAACTTCCTTTGGAGGGAATTTTGGGATTTTAGCCTTTGCAGAACATTTACATGCACACACACATTTATAACACATTACAGGAAAAGCATAATAGCTTCTCACACTTTAACTTAGGCTCCTCTAAAATTGCAACATGTAAAACAATTCTGAAATAACAGGAAATTAATTAATAAACTAGTGCAAGACGAATAACGATGCAGCTAAGTTGCAAGTATAGGCAAATATACAGTAAACACATACAATTGAAAAAAGGTGAAACAGGATGTAAACTTTAAAGCCCCTGTCACACTGTCCCGAAGTTGACACCCGATGGACACACGAATATGGAATTGTGAATTTCGCACGAAGATGGCCCCGAACCACACACGAAGGCAACATTTACATTACATTTAAGACATACAACTGCAATGAAAGTACCAAAAACAATTATGTTACAGTACTGATATCTTCAGACTTTGTTCTTTACTTTATCCGTCGTTATATGTAGAAAATATTACCTTTTCTCCGTAATGTTGTTTCCATAACAACAACAACTTCCTGTCAACTGTCCTTCAAAATAATATATTATATCCTTTTTAGTTTCACAGAACACAAATTGGGTTATTTACATAATATATTTACATGATTTTGTTGTGCAATAAAACAACCCGATGGACACACGATAAAGGAAATGTTCAAATTCGGCTGTGATCGTAGCAACATCGGGCCATTCGTGAGGGCATCTTAAGCCATCGTATGACCACCGGTGGAGTTTCTCAGGCTCCGGCAGCAACTTCGTGAGCGGTGGCAAAATCTTTGGCATGCCAAAAAATTGCCAAAGGACCTTGCGAAGGTTAATTTTCGTGTTGAATTCGTGTGTAAATGTTGCCCTTCGTAAGGCCATCGTGAGGGCATCTTGTTATCATCGGTGCCATCGGGCATTCGCCCCGATCAGAGTGAGGGTGAATGCACCGATGATAACACGAAGATGACACGATTTGACAAGATGCCCTCACGAGTGCCTTACGAAGTTGCCGCTCACGAAGTTGCTGCCGGAGCCTAAAGGCCCGTCCACACAGCAGCTTTTGGCGATTTGTCCACCGCTTCCAGCGCGTCTCCGCCCATTGACTTTGAATGGGGATGACGTCACTTTCCCTCGCTTGTCGCCGAACTGCATTGTGGGGGGGCGAGGCGAAGATTTCCAGGATTTCCAGGATGTTCAGGATTCCAAAGTTGAACAATGTTCAACTTTTGAGGCTGAGCTGGAAGCGACAGCCAATCAGATCCGTTTATGCAAATCTGACAGTAGAAGCTCTAGCCAATCAAACCGCGTGTAAGCAGGGAGAGCCAGACCGCAGTACATTTCCTCATATTCCAAACGAGAAATTACTGTAGCAAATCACCCGGTTCTTTACGACCAGAACTATTTACCGGGATACAAACCGGAGGAACCAGGCATGGAGGGAGGTGCCAGAGACAGTGGGTGAAACTGGTAGGTTTTCACCTGTTTGGGGAGTTTATATATATATATATATTGCTCGCATAAAATCCCCGTTTTTTTTTTGCTTTGTATGTCGGGGGCGGGAGATTCATGTGATTGGTTGTTGGTCGTGTTGCTCGCAAAAAATCCCCAAGCTGTCAGACACGCCCAGCTCCAAGATTTTCAAGATTTGTTCAAAGCTGCTGTGTGGACGGGCCGTAAGAAACTCCACCGGCGGTCATACGAAGGCTTAAGATGCCCTCACGAATGGCCCGATGTTGCTACGATCACAGCCGAATTTGAACATTTCCTTTATCGTGTGTCCATCGGGTGTCAATTTCGGGACAGTGTGACAGGGCCTTAATACTGTACAGTAGAATACATATTGTATACTTTATTAATGTATTTTAATATATTGATGTGTGGAATATGTGAAACGTAACATATCATACAAAACAGTGTGTCCTAAGTTTCTTTACATTTACACATACATTATGTTTTCCCAACAACTGCTGCCTTTGGCCTTACTTGCTTCTTGTCTTATTTGTTTTTGAATTTGACCCTAATACATATGTGTATTCATAACTGCAGACATGAGCAGCTTATTACTGCAGCTCATAAAAAGAATATTTGAGCGTGAATATTTCTGCTGCAGGTGGGCGTAGCCTCTAATTCTCTGTTCCATGCAGAGCATGTTGTTAATAATGAACGTTTCTGATGGTTTCATCTGTGGATGCCATCTGGAAGAAGAGCAGGAGTGTTTTGCAGGGAGCGGTGGTGAGCAGTGATATGGTGCATCCAGTGGGGCAACCTTGCTTCTCACACAAGGATATAATATGTTAATCTGCCTTCCTTTGAGCCCTGCATGATCACTGCTGTGTTTTATAACACACAGCTGCTCCTCACTCACAGCCAAGTTCATTCTTAATGAAAAACCGACAACACAAATTTGATTACACAAATCAAATTGGGGCCAGAGCCAGGACTTTATAAACTGTGCTGTGGTCAAGACTGCACCGGCAGAACTAAGCCCACCTGAGAAATGCAAAACGTATCGGCCATAAGAAAACTATTTACAGTTTTCTTAGTTTTTAAAGTATCAATAAATCTAACTTTTTTTCATTTTATTTTATTTATTTTTTATCTATTTTGTTGTTGCTTATTCTGCTTATTTTAGCATTGGTTTCTCTTCTCAGACCATAAGGTTGCCTTTTCAGTACAAGGTACAAAAATCAAATGTAACAAATCAAAATGTAAGACGAAGTAAAGGGAGAGACGAAATGAGGGTGATTAGGCGTTCGTAAAACTCGGGACAGTCCCGATTTCAATCAGCTGTCCTGAGTCACCTGAGTTGTTATAATGCTACCTTAAAAACATTAGGTATTATATAAAATGATAGACCTTAAAACCAGGGTACGAGGATATCTGGTCTCATATCACAATCTCGCTAACATGAGTTGTGATGGTAAAAACAAAGTATAGCGAGAGTTGATGAAAGTCATAAACCACACTATTGACCTGTTGATGGCACTAGATTGAAAAACACAGGATCAGCAATGTTTTTACAATTCACC